ATAGTAAATTCTCAATAATAATATTATAATATTGTGAAATTAAGGAGAGACTGTAGGTCATTCGATTTCATCAGTTTTTAAATTTCGACTTTGATTAAGTTAAAAAGTTTAATATATCATTTAGAGAAGATACTGTGTCTAGTTTTGACCTCACGAAAAAGTTCTTTATTTGTTGAGCCGTGAAAGTACCCCCTCTTTCATGTACAATTTCACAATATTATTAGAAATGTACACATTACTGAATAGAGAAATGTATAATAATTTGCAGTAAGTAATATTTCAGTGATAAGTCGCCGGCACCGGCACCGGCGGGAGGTGCTGCCGCCCCCGCAGCGGCTGAAAAAGGCGGCGAGGAAAAGAAGGAGGAGAAGAAAGCGGAAGCTGAGAAGAAGAGCAAGAAATCGGAACCAGAAAAGAAGGAAGGTGAGGGTGGTGAAGGGGAGAAAAAGGCTGATGAAAAGAAGGAAAGTGAGGGTGAGAAGAAAGAAGAGGAAAAAAAAGAGGGGGAGGGTGAAAAGAAGGAAGAGGCCAAAAAGAGTGAAGAGAAAAAGGAGGAAAAGAAGGAGGAAGAGGTAAATCTCCTTTTTTTTTTTGATTTAACTAGATATTGAAATAAAAAATTTGAATAGATTTCTTGAGTCCAGCTAATTCGGGTCGCATTTTTATTTATGCTTGGAACAATGAATTCTGGAATTTAACTTTAAAAGTTATCCTTCAACATTTCGAAGCCCAATAATAATAATATCTGCTGCAATACTTGAGATGATATATAGCGGAAAGAATCCTTCTACTCTTATTACTGATCAGGAATAAGTAAATGATCGAGCGTGATTCGATTTAATCGAGTAGAAAATCCAATTCTCAATTATCGATTTGTATTTTATAGGAAGAAAAGGGCGAGAAGAAGGAAGGTTCCAAGAAGGAGGGTTCCAAGAAGGAAGGTTCCAAGAAGGAGGGTTCCAAGAAGGAGGGTTCCAAGAAGGAAGAGTCAAAGAAGGAGGGTTCCAAGAAGGAAGAGTCAAAGAAAGAGGTAGGAAAATTTGAACTCCTCAATTACCCTGCTAGCATTCATTCATTTATGCCTATGAATTTGTAAAATTTAGGAAGAGAAAAAGGGTTCGAAGAAGGAAAGCTCCAAGAAGGAAGGATCCAAGAAAGAGGTGAAGTTTAGCTTCAAATTCTCTTTTTAATTTAAATTTTAATAGTAGTTGCTGGAATTAAAATTCTAGCAAATTTCTTTTAGGAGATGGAAGAGAAGAAGGAAGAGGAAAAGGAGGAGGAGAAGAAGGGTGACGAGGAAAAGAAGGAGGAATAAATGATAGGATTAATGATGGAAGGGCGCAAACTGAACATCTCACGTCAAAAGAAGCTCATACAAGAGATGATTCATGAGTTCATTCTCTTGAATCATTTAATTTCAAACTGACATGATTTTTTTTTTGTCATCCCATGAATACTACTTTTGTACACAGAAATTAATAAATTATTGGTGCCCTTCAAAATGATATTACATTTCAAACAAAATCAGCGATCCGAAATTTCCCAGATCTCTTAGTGATATGATATTGAGGGGTGCAATGGATTCAAAGAGTCATCCCGTGATTTGGGATAATTTTTCAGTTGGATGCGAAGATGATTTTATTTTTCTCATCATTTCTCGAATCATCAGATTATCAATTATTAAAATGTTCGATTCGAACATTTCTCATATCCTCACCTGAAATGTTCATACTGTAATTAAAGCATTGCTCAAAAAGGAAATAAACAATTTATTGAAAGAAGTAAAATAAATCAGCTTTAAAATGGAATACAAAAAAGAGAGATTTTATCCATTCATCATATACTGTTCTAAAATTGAAATGAAATTTTCAAATGTTTCAAATTGGAAATATTTTGTACTGCCTTTATACCTATATTAAAGACAAAGAATGAAGCGATGATATTGTTTTTTAGGTTAATATATGCAAGAATAATTAATAGAAAATCATACTGGAAAGCCATTTTGTATCATGTTTAATTGAGCTTGACTGAGCTTATTAAGCTTTAATTGAGCTTATTAATTTAACTTGATTAAGTTAAATTTAAACTTAATCATGTTTTATAATCGTATAGAGATAATTTATTGCATTTTTTTTCAGCACTTAAATTGGACAGTGTTTTGTGCAAAATCATTATGCAAAATTCAAATTTTTGAATTTTGTATAAAACTATATAATAGCTATGATACGATAGTACATTTGTTATTCTTATTAGAAATACGGTGAAAAGCAGCAGAAGTTTTTACATCCTTCTGTCATCAGGTTGATTAAATTAAATTATTGGATTCTTGTCATTTTACATTTTCTAGCATACTATTAGTAAGATGATTAGCATCAGAAAACGCGATGGAAGAAAATTTTCGGATCAATTTAGCATGATATTATCATTTAATTCAGTAAGTTAAGCTTTTAGAAGAGTGTTGTTGATTTTTATCCAAGCCTTTCCTTTAATATTAATTATCATTCCTATCTTAATATCACAGATAACAAAGAAGAGCAGAAAGAACAAAAAGACCGAAAAGCATCAGTAACAATGGATAAATTAAAATTGATTGAATCGCCTATATCTTTGATTTTGCATGTTGCATTAATACTATATGTTGTCATAATCTATTCTACTATTTGCTGTAGCTCAAAAAAAACTGCGGTTCGTTAAAATCAATTAACAAATTTTTAACAATTAAATATATTGCTTCAATTTAGATATTGATATTCAAATTTCTAATTACAATATTGTTTTAAGATAATATCTAGTCTGATGAGAATAGACAAATACTATAATTATGGAACTTGATAATGTCCAAATAGAATGTCATAGCTGAACAATAAATATTAGCTATCATTGATCGTTCTTGTATTATTGCTATTGTCTTACTCAGTTTAAGCATTTGTTTTTGCTTACTTCTCAACAAAAATTGCACCAAAGGTAAAATGAATAAAAGTTTTGCTTAAATTATATATAGCAAAATTGATAATTTCATTAAATACTAATTAGCAATAATTGTAATCACTAATTATTCTTCACTGTATTTATTCATTCAGAAAAAGAAAAGCAAAGACGATAAAAAAGAAGTCTTAAATGGGCAACAACAGCAACAGCAGCAACAACAACAACAACAACAAAGTATGAAATTTGCAATCATTTTGAATATTCACAAAGTAATTTTTTCTTTTATCTGATTTCATCATTCAAAAAAAAAAACAGATAATTTGTGAAGTGATTATAGTGTTAGATAATGATTGATAACTAAAGAGGTGGAAATTATTAAGGATATTAAAGTCGTTCTAATTATTACTAATAGCAAAATGTGCTATCAGGAAATAAATAATAGGATCTTGTTAGCTGAAACCGAAAGTGTTGCACCATTTAAATTAAAGTGTCGAAGATTACTAACTCATTTATTCCAATAATACTCAAATGAAATTCTACAAAGATAGTAAATGAGGATGAATTGAACAATTGTTAAGATAGATCATTCTGAATGATAACTTGTAGATGTGCAAGCGCCAGGATTTGCAGGTCAGCTTAACCAAGTAAGTTTATGGCTCATTGCAATTTATCGGCTATTATTTGAACTAACTTTTTTATTGCATTTTTTCATCGATTAATTGTTTTCTTTCCTGTTGTCCACCGATTAGTAAATTATTATTTAGATTTGTTTGTTTCGAATATGTGTCAATTTTCATTAATGATATGATATGATATGAGTGAGATATCATAAGACGATATGAGTAAGTTGAATAAAAATTAAACCACTAATAAAATTTGATATTAATAATTTAAGGGTGCTGGTGCTGCTCCTCCTCTAGCGGAAGGACCAAAAGCACCTGGTCAAGGAGGCATAGCTGGTAAGTTACTTTATATGATTTATGTTAATTTTAATACTGGTGAAAGAGTAAAATTTTGATCACGAACTAATAGAAGTTACAGTTAATAACCAAAGTGAGGATAGCTTTTGCATAAAAAGTATTGCATTTGGACATTTATTCTTTTGTTAATTAAAAATAATTAATCTTTATACTAATATGCAGGAGTTAATTTTAGGAACATTTGACCCGAACTATCAGACATTAGCTGGCGTAGGTGGTGAAATATTTGGTGAAGACAAAAAGCAAGGTGGTGCTTTTGGCGGCGCTGGTGGTGGTGGTGCTGGTGGTGCTGGTGCTGGTGGCGGCGGCGGAGGACCACAAGCACCAGCAGCTGGGGGAATGGCTGGTAAGTTTGATTGGCTATGTATTTTAAAAGAACACGATTTCAAGTATATTAGAATCAATTAACATCACAAGATAGTTTTCAAATAATTTTTAGGAACCTTCGATCCTAACTATCAAACCTTAGCTGGTGTAGGTGGAGAAATATTCGGTGCAGATAAGAAGGCAGCTGGAGGTGGCGGTGGTGGTGGCATTGGCGGTCCTCAAATTCCCGTAAATAAAGAGGAAAAAGCTGGTACATTTGATCCTAATTATCAGGTACACAATCTTATTTTAGAGTTTTTGATTGTGCTAAATTTTGAAAAATACGTCTAAGATTTTAACTTTAATAAATTTGCAAATTTTATCTTCAGAATTTTTAAATTTTATTGAATTATCATTCATGCCAAAAAAAAAAATGTCAGACACTAGCTGGAATTGGTGGTGAAGTATTCGGTGCAGATAAAAAGCAAGAAGGTGAAGTTGGTGGTGGTGGTGGTGGTGCTGGACCTAAAGCTCCCGATAACAAGGATGTTAAAGCAGGAACATTTGATCCCAATTATCAGACACTAGCTGGTGTTGGTGGTGAAGTATTCGGTCAAGATAAAAAGGTAGCAGGAGGTGGTGGTGATGGCGGCGGTGGTGGCGAAGGACCAAAAGCTCCGGAAAATAAAGATGTCAAAGCCGGCACCTATGATCCTAACTATCAAGTATGAAATTTATTTTTTTTAAAAAACAAATACTTTTATTTCACTATTCTTTCTATTAAAAAAATGTTTTAAGTTAGTTTTCATTAATCTTCATCAATCCTAATTAAAAACGAACAAGCAAGCAGAAATATTATCAATCCTTTCGCTTTCTTATTTCATTCATTTTTACAGACTCTTGCTGGTGTCGGTGGTGAAATATTTGGCGCTGATAAAAAAGTATAAGCCAATTTTGATGAGCAATAATTCATTGGTGAAGAAAAAAAAAGCCAACTGTACTCATATTATTGTCACATTTACAATTGTATAATCGCAAAAATCACAAATAATTCTACAAAAACATTTTTTAGAACTTAATCAATGTTTCATCAAATGATCATGATCAGATTATTGTTTTCTTTTCCTTGCATTACAACAAAAAAAAAAAAGTAATAGCACGAACTTATAGAATTGATCTTCTTTCAGTATAACCTTAGCCAATACATTCACTGATAATTGAAAGTTACACCAAAGCGTGCATATTTTAATAATTTCCTAAGGATGAATTAATTTTAATTAATATGTCATTGCTAGAAAAAATTTGAGTCTACACAAGTATTTGTCGATATTAAAATATATTTTAACAAAAAAAATCTTTTTTTAAAAATAGGATTTAAAACATGAAATATTTCGTACCTTAAATGATACTTTCCTTCTAATCCGTAAACATTATGCTGCACCATTCAAGTAACGAAAAGCTTTAGTGCGAGCTTCAAATTTTTCAAATTCTTCCAAAAAATCTCCATACTATTATTGTTATTGCTGAACTAAAATATGCATGAAATTAGGAACATTAGATTATTTCATAAATCATTTATTTTTATAAATTATTACTGTAACAATAATTGCAAAAACAGAACTTATGCAATCATAATCGACGACTAACCCTTTGCTTCTCACCTTCTCCAATTAATTATTAAGTAAACAAATAAGCAGGTGTGACCTTTTTCCCATCTCTTTTTCTTTTCTTCCTGTTGTTCATTAACAAAAGAACAAAAAGTGGCCAAGAAGCAAAAAATTCAAACTCAATAAATGTTACAATTCTTGGAAAAAAATAACATATTTCATAAAAAATTTTACTTTTACTATGAATCATCAAAAATAAGTGATGATAGAATAGTACAGGATAGCGTAAACAAATCATTGAATGAATTGAATATCATTGAATGAACCTGTTGATACAATATTTGAGCGGAGCCTCATTAATGAAAAGGTATCCGCATAGTTCCTCGGCTTATCCCTATACTTTTCTACTTCGCATGCAAAAGCTTTCCATTTGTTACCTCTCTTTCAGTATTACTTTGATTTAGCTAGGCTAGTGAGCCAAAATGATGCGACACATCTCTTTTCATTCAAATAATAGTCTATTCCTCAGCTCTTAGCCAATCTCCTAATTAGATATTTTATTCTCGATCGAATAACTAAATGCTATGCTATCATCTTTTAAGCATACGGTATCTCTCTTTCACTCCTATCATCACAATCATCGATAGACAGCACACATTCATTCCTAAATGTTCCCATTTTATTTCTCAATTGAATTTTTCTCCTAAAATGCATTTCATTCATTTTATCATAGATCCGTGATGATGATATTCTGAAAGACGGGATAATCATAATGATAGATTTAAAATTTCCATCACAGTTTTATGTTTTATTAGCTATAATGTAAGGATAGAATTTATGAAAATTACAATTAAAAGCAGAGCCAAGTGAAGATAGTATGTGCGCAAAAGTAGCAGTATAGCGGACCCCTACCACGAGGTCATCCCATCATCATTTCACCTTCATGACCCCTGCTGTACTCGACAACCTCTTTCTACCACATCTTTGCATCGGTGATGCATTTGTAGAAAGCTATTGTTGGACATAATTACAAGTGCAAATTTACCATTCCTCTTCAATATTTGTTTGATTTTTCTCTTTTACCGCCTCTGAATACTGTATTCCTTCCTCGAAATTATAATTTTCCAATTGTCGAATTTTTTTTTTTTTTTTGCTCAATGCTTCTTTAATACAATACTGTAGAGAAGATATTCGAGAAAAATTTGCTGAACAATTAACAAATATACCCATTTTGTCTTTTTTTTTCTTCCCAAGCAATATCGCGAAACATTTTTCAAATTCTCTCGAATCTTTGAATGGTATTCTATCTGTTGTACTTGTACGATGGTTATGATGCTACCATTCATTTCTTTGGCAACAAAGGGACAAACCAAAATACAATAATAGCTAATATGTTATTTAGAAAGTTTTCTTTAATCAACGTATGGACAAAAGTCCAAAGCTATATTGGTTATTTACAGTGTCAATAAACTAAACTAAAGTATATAATGTATATACCAGTGAAGAGTGTAAACGATTTTTTATGATGTTGTTAAATTTGTGAATATGTTGAAAAGCGCGGATATGTTAGGGATTATTTTATATTTCTTTGCCAGATGTATGTATCATTTTGTCAAAAATCAGAAATAGTGTGTAGACTGATTTATCGATTTACAGTAATGAAAATCAAACGATTTTGTTAGATTGA